TACTCACACCACGAGGAGCCCGAACGACTCACACCACGACGCGGGCCCCGAACGACTCACACCACGAGGAGCCCGAACGAGTCACACCAGGAGGAGGGGCCCGAACGACTCACACCAGGATGAGGGGCCCGAACAACTCACACCACGAGAAGCCCGAACGACTCACACCAGGACGAAGAGCCCGAACGACTCACACCACGAAGAGCCCGAACGACTCACACCAGGAAGAAGGGCCCGAACGACTCACACCAGGACGAGAAACCCCAAACGACTCAAATCACGAGGAGCGCTTTCTCTCCCTCCTCCTCCGCCTCGTCCTTCTCCCGCTCCCCCCCACAAGGAGGATTCACAAGGAGGCGGGAGGAAGGAGGGACAGGGGAGATATACGGAGCCCAGCGGACACACGCCTGAAAAACACAACTGTCGACATGCTTCGCGAGAGCTGCTGCTGTGAGATGGGCTGGTGGGGATACGCGAAGCGTAAAGAATTTCCCATATGTTCTGGGTTTCTGTCCTCCCCCCCACTTCCCAATAGTTTCCCATATGTTCTGGGGAATCGACGACTCATTGTGTCTGTATGTTTTTCTCCCTCCTGCAACAAGCGCACCGTAGGGCGGGCCCCCGAGCTCGACGCGGCACGCCCAAAACTTGTGCTGAGAAGTCTCCCAGCAGGACATTGACATCGAGATCCAGCTTCGCCGGACGTCTCAGCCCTCTTGCGAGAGCCGGCTCTGAAGCGCGCAGTGTCTCAGCGCGGCGCGGCGCCGAGGTTGGTGGTTATGATGGAGATTGCGCCCCTGATGATGCCGATTGCGCGGGGCCGGGGGGGTCTGCAGCAGTGTATGGAAGACAACATGCAGGAACGTGTGGAGAAAGATGTGGCGGGGGGTCTGGACGAAGACCGGCGGGAAATCTGAAGGATGTCGAGGAAGACCCCGGTGAAGATCTGGGCGAAGATCTTGGGGAAGATTTGGGGACGATCTTGGGGAAGATCTGGGGGAGGATCTTGAAAAACATCTGGTGAAAGATCTGGGGGATATCTAGAAGAGAGATATCGAAGAAGACCCGGGTGGAGATCTGGATGGAGATCTGGGTGAAGATCTAGGGGAAAATCTGGGTGAAGACGTGGGGTAATATCTGGAGGTAGATCTGGAGAAAGATCTGCAGGAAGATCTAGGAGGACAGATCTAAGGGACGATATGGGTGGATATCTGGGGGGAGATCTGGAGAAGATCTGGGGGAAATCTGGTGGAAGAGTTGGGAAAAAAACTGAAGGAAAATCTGGAGGAGAGATCTCGGGGGAGATCTGGGTGAAGATCTGGGGGAAGATCTGGGAAAGATTTGGAGGAACATCTGGAGGACACATCTGGAGGAGAGATCTCGAAAAAGATATGGGTGAAGATCTGTTTGAAGATCTGAAGGGAAATCTCAAAAAGATGTGGGTGAAGATCTGGGGTGAGATCAGATCTGGAGACGCATCTGGTGGAGGATCTGGAGGAGAGATCTTGGGAAAGATCTGGGCGAAGATCTGGGGGCAGATCTGGAGGAAGATCTAGGGGGAGATCTGGGGAAAGATCTGGAGGAGAGATCTCCTGGAAACTCTGGGCGAAGATCTGGGGGAAGATGTGGGGCAAGATCTGGAGGAAGATCTGGAGAAAAATCGGAGGGGAATATCTACAGAAGAGGATGGACATCGAGGAAGACCCCGGTGAAGATCTGGGTGGAGATCGGGACTACGATTTGGAGAAGATCTGGAGAAACATCTGGGTGAAGATCTGGGTGAAGATCTAGAGGAATATCTGAACGAGATCTAGGGTAGAATCTGGAGGAAGATCTGGAGACACATCTGGAGAAGAGATCTCGAGGAAATGTCTGGAGGAAGATCTGGGTGAAGATCTGGGGGGAGATCTGGAGAAGATCTGGGCGGGAATTCGGGTGGAAGATTTGAAGCAAAATCTGAGGGAAGATCTGGAGGAGAGATCTCGGGGAAGATCTGGGTGAAGATCTGGGGGAAGATCTGGGAAAGATTTGGAGGAAAATCTGGGGACACATCTGGAGGAGAGATCCCGAGGAAGATCTGGGTGAAGGTCTGGGTGAAAATCTGGAGGAAGATCTGGAGAAGATTCAAGGGAAGATCTGGGGTGAGATCCAGAGAAACATCTGGTAAAAGATCTGGAGGAGAGATCTTGGGACAAACCTGGGCGAAGATCTGTGTAAAGATCGGGGGGATGATCTGGAAGACGATCTGGGGGCAGATCTGGAGGAATACCTGGTGGAGAGATCTGGGGGAAGATCTGGAGGAGAGATATCGGGCAAACTCTGGGCGAAGAATTGGGGAAAGGTCTGGGAAGATTTGGGGCAAGATCTGGAGGAATATCTGGAGACAGATCTGGGGAATATCTACCGTAGAGGAGAGATCTTGAGGAAGACCCTGGTGGAGATCTGGGCGAAGATCTGGACGAAGATGTGTGGAAGATCTTGGGGGAGATCTGGATGTAGATCTGGAGAAACATATGGTGAAAGATCTGGGGGATATCTAGGAGGAGAGAGACTTCGAGGAAGACCCCGGTGAAGATCTGGGTGGTGATCTGGCTGAAGATCTAGGGGAAGATCTGGGTGAAGATCTGGGATAATATCTCGAGGAAGACATGAAGAAAGATGTGGAGGAAGATCTAGTGGAGAGATATGAGGGGGAGATGTGCGGGGAGATCTGGAGAAGATCTGGGGGAACCTGGTGGGATTCTGGAGGAGCAAAATCAGAGGGAAGATCTGGAGGAGAGATCTCGGGGAAGATGTGGGTGAAGATCTGGGGGAAGATCTGGGAACGATCTGGGAAAGATCTGGAGGAAGATCTGGAGACACATCTGGAGGAGAGATCTCGAGGAAGATTTGGGTGAAGATCTGGGTGAAGATCTGGAGGAAGATCTGAAGGAGATGTGGGTGAAGATCTGGAGGAAGATCTGGAGACACATCTGGAGAAGAGATCTCGAGGAAATGTCTGGAGGAAGATCTGGGTGAAGATCTGGGGGGAGATCTGGAGAAGATCTGGGCGGGAATTCGGGTGGAAGATTTGAAAAAAAATCTGAGGGAAGATCTGGAGGAGAAATCTCGGGGAAGATCTGGGTGAAGATCTGGGGGAAGATCTGGGAAAGATTTGGAGGAAAATCTGGGGACACATCTGGAGGAGAGATCTCGAGAAAAATCTGGGTGAAGATCTGGGTGAAGATCTGGGTGAAGATCTGAAGAAGATTTGGGGGAAGATCTGGGGGAAGATCTGGAGAAACATCTGGTGGAGGATCTGGAGGAGAGATCTTGGGAAAGATGTGGGCGGAGATCCGGGTGATGATCTGGGAAAGATCTGGAAGAAAATCTGGAGGCAGGTCTGGAGGAAGATCTGAAGGAAGATCTGGGAGAAGCTCTGTGGAAGATCTAAGCAGACGAACCAGGAAGATCTAGAGGAAGATCTGGAGGAAGATCTGGGGAAGATCTAGGCCGATCTGGAGAAGATCTGGGAGAAGATCTGGAGGAGGATCTGGGGGGGAAACAAAAACACACACACACACACACACAAAAAAAAACGATACCTAGCTTGGTGGGAGGGGGTTTCGCAACAGAAGGTATCAGTGCAAGAGGCCCGCGCGCCCAGGGCGCACGACCCGCCGAAGGGGTGAAGACGCGTCCCCGCTCCCACGGCCACGACGCCCCCTAAGAGAGGAATAATACAAAAATATCAACATAAACATAAACATATCAACATGAACGTAAACATAAACATAAACATAAGCATATGTAAGCAACTCAAGCCCAAGCATAAACATCAACAGGAAAGAGCAAAGACACATCAACATAAACAGACACAGAAGCCGTAGCAGTGTGATCACTTTCAATGTAGAGGCGAGGCATGATTTCCGTTGCGGACATCGCTGTCCTGCAAGAAGGCTTCACATACCCAGCTCCTACAAGGCGAGGTCATCGTCAGATCGCGCTCGTGTAACAGATACGACGCGTGGCGTCTCTGGCAGATGGCCACGGTACAGTGCGGCCTCACGATCTGGGCCGAGGGCAAAGCAGGCCAGCACGGGCGATCGCATCATGCAAAGATCATGGGCGTGCGTGGCTGAGCTGCCAGGGTTCGAAGAAGAACAACAGCAAAACATCAACAGAAACTTTCCACGGTCCGCGCGAATTTCTTGGATCTGCGCTGGGCCCTCTCTTTCCCAGGCGCGCGGAGCGCGCCAGGGGCGGCGCCGGAGGCGCCGCCGGGGGGGGCGATCCAAGAAATCCGCGCGGACAGTCGAAAGTGTATGCTTCTGGCGTTTGTTCTTCTTCGAAGGGCGCGCGCTGTGTATTGCAAGGATGACAGCCTTCAAGTAGCCCAGCCAGCGAAAGAACAGAACGCGTCTTGTCGAACATCGTCGTCGTCGTCGTCCTCCTCCTAGCTCGTCGTCGTCGTCTTCGTCGTCGTTGTCGTCGTCGTCAACACTGTCGAAGTCAGTCGCAGGACTGCACCTCGGGACGCAAGGCTTTGGGGAGGAAGACAGCATGCGAGACGCTGTTATAGGATGGGCAAGGCGCCAAGGGAGAAATCTCGGGTGTTGCTAGAATTGCCCCTGGCCCAAGGTGCCCCCAGGATTCTAGGGGTGGCCCAGAGGGCCTCCAGAGCACCCCTCACGAAGCCCAGAGGGCCCGAGAGGCTCCAAAATGAAGCGAAAAGCTGGGGGCACCCTGGGCCAGGGACACTTCCAGCAACATTCGAAAATCTACTGGATCCAGTCCCGCACCACATTAGAGACCAAGACATGGGATGGGATGGGATGGAATAGCAGAATAAATCAACGGAGGGTGACCAGGTGGCAAGAAGAAGAGTCGCAAGGGGGGAAGCAAAGATATAGGGACAAAGAGGGCAGAAGGGATCAGCTGTGGATATGGGAAAGATGCCAGATGAGAGGAGACGGGTGTAGAGCTGAAACAACGTACCCGCCAGCACTGGCGGGAACGAC